TTATAATCTTTTAGTCTGTTTCCCTCAAAACAAAGTTTTCTCCCTTGAGACGGTTTCCCTTGAAACACAAACCTTTGAGATTATTTCCCTTGAAACAAGTTTTCTCCCTTGAGACAGTTTCTTTTGAAACACCAATCTGTGAGATGGTTTCCCTTGAAACGAATTTTGTCTCTCTTGAGACAGTTTCTCTTGAAATAAATCCCTATAAATGGCCTACCATCCTTATCGCGTAGGAACTGTGTCATCCCTTGACAAGGCATCCTCATTACATAGGAGTCGTGTCACCCCTAGATAACCAGTCGTCCTCATCACGTAGGAATTGTGTTATCATCTCTAAAGATAGTCTATCATCCTTATCACGTAGGAACCGTGTCATCCACCGACCAGACTCCTCATCACGTAGGAGCCGTGAAACCCCTAGATAACCAGTCATCCTTATCGCATAGGAATTGTGTTATCACCCTTCCTAAAGATGGCTTACCATCCTCATCGCGTAGGAACTGTGTAATCCACCGACCAGATCTCCTCATCACATAGGATCCGTGTCACCCTTAAATGACAAGAACTCTTCATCATGTATGAGCAGTGTCGTCCCCCAACAACAAACATATCATATTTTCAAAACCAAAAAAAAAGATAATAGGACAAAAACTTGATGTCTTTTTCGTCTTTGCCCTATTCTTGTTAACACAAGAATGTGCAAATAGGGGCAACTGTAGACACTCGTTTTTGTCCGGGTCCTAAAATAATTATTATTATTTTAATATTATTGTTATTATTATTATTATTATTACAATTAATTTACAATATAGGCCCTCAACTCGAGGCCGAATTGAGGCCAACCAGCAGCCTACAAAACAGAGCCCAAATTACAAGCAAGCAAACCCAACCCGAATCTACTCAACAACCAACCCGCCCAACATCCGACCCGGATACAGACCCGACCCAGGATCTCACCCGGCCCCCTAGGGTTTCTGAAACCTAACCCTAGGGGTATGATGTTGTTGTCGTCGCCTATCATTGCTACTGTTACCACCAAACTTTTCCCGTATGCACTAAAAAAAGGAGAAGAAACCAACAACCCAAATAAAAAAAGGAAAATATAACAAGTCAATGGGAAAGCCATCATAAGCCATTACCATAAAAAATGAAAGGAAATACAGAGAGAAATATTTGGGGTTGGAAATAGAAAAAAACAGAAAACAATAAATATATTTAAAAAAAACAATTACCTTCTGGTCTTCGATGACGGCAGTTCCAATGGTCAGATGACGGATTCGAACGACGAAAAGGTGTGTGGAAGTGAGGAAACCAACATATCTCAGTGGTGGCCCCATCAGACGGTGGGTTTAACGGCGACGTAAGGTAAACCTTTTGGTTTCCTTTTTAATATCTAGGCATGTGGGGGCATTTTTAGGCCGAAAGAGGTGGAGATTTAGGGAGTTGAGAGTGAAATGAACCTTTTGGGATCATATGATCCCTCCGGCCACCGTAAGTCGCCATGGGCTCTGTCGTGGCTGCCGTTGATGAACGGCGGCTTCTTTTACCCGACGAGAGAAAAGTTGAGAGAGTTTTAATCTCTCTCTCTCTTTCTCTAGTTTTAGAAACGAGGTAAATAAGGGAGATGAGAGAATAGGTCTCGGTTTTGGCCTTAAATACCCCGTATAGAACAACGTTGTTCTAAAAGGGGCTTCTTCGTGTTTTCTAGTTAGGGGATAATAACACCCTAGGTCCCTCACTATTGTAATCTGTTTATTTCGGTCATGAAATGAAATGGGTTATTATTATGTTTGATCTTTTTTATTTTACATACGTTTTATTTTAGCCACTGTATTGTTATAATATTATTTATTTTGGTTTATTTACATGTTTGTTCCTCACTAGAGATTATTGCTTCTGATTTGGACATATTATTTTACGCGTATTTATTTTGGTCACTATAAATTATGTATTTTTAATTATTTTGATTTTTATCATGTAATTTTGGATATTTGTATTTTTGTCCTAAATGTATGGGTTTATTACATTTTCAATGTTTGTAATGTGTTGTTTTTACAGTATGTGTTGTATTATTTATTTTATTTTGTTTTTAGGCATTATCTTTCCTGTTTTATTATTTAATCCCTTTCGTTTGTTATCTTATTTTCAGTGCTTGTAATATGTTATGTTTTTACTATAAATATTTTAGTTCACATGATTCCAATCGCATTTTATTCCTATTGTATTTCCTTAATTATTAATATTATTCAAATTATTTTCAAGAACGTCATTTGTAGAATGGGCATGGAAAACACCGATTGGTCGAAGTAGTGTAATCCAATAAGACGTTCAAACAAAATGTGAACTTGAAATAAATTGATTTTATTTTATTAATTAATTCATTTTTATTATTCTATTTTAATACAATGCGTGTCTCGCTAAATATCAACTTATTCTATCTTATACAAATGTTGATGACCAATTTATATTCGATTTGTGCTTTTTAATCAATGAGGGAATATTCTTTTAAACAAAGAAATAGATTAATTAGCTTTTCCGACGGAGGATTACTATTCTCGAGATTTCTTTTCAAATTAAAGAATTTTCCCTAATAAATAATTCAAAATAAATTAATCAAATTTAAATAAATGGATCATAATTTTACTTTACATTCGATTTATAAGTTCCACCACCGTTACGACAACGTGTAAGCGATCCAGTACCAGTTTTTTAACGTTGTGGGAGTGTTAATCCTTCCCCACTCGTAACCAACTCCCGGACCTATTAAGTCGAGTTTTTGGTAAACGCAGACCAATTTTTGTCTTAAAAAATGATTTTTCCTTAAAAATGTTTTAAAATACGTTTTTAGGTATTCGACCTACCTAGCCTAAAGGTCAATGGCGAATCCTTTTCAATTTAATTAATAAATCCCCATTTTTTCAAATAAAAGTCATAACTGTTTTTTTTAAAATAATACATAATTGTTTTCTAAAAAAAATGATTATGACAATATTCACTCGGGACTTAAAGGTTAACAAAAGCTTATTGTCATTTTGCAGTTTTATTTCTGCTATTTAGGGAATATCCTATTGGCACTTCCCTTTTGCAGATATTATCTTGGGAATTTTGTGCACGTAGACATGAACTTTTTCCGCGCCATTTAGTTGCACCTAAGGTTCTAAATTTTGCAACTTATTAGCTCTATGTTCCTGTTGATGATTCTTCTGCAAATACACAATCACTCCTTTGCTATTTCTTTAATTTATGCTTGTATCATATATAATGGTACATACAATTGTAGCTACGTTTTTAATGAAAGATGAGGATGAGAAATCGTACAAGGACAACTGAAAGTCACTTACAATGGCTAACGTATTTACTCAAATAATCCACAAGTGGCGTTATTTTATTCTTGCCTTGTTTTCTTCATTTAGATTTGTATTGCACTGATACCAAATTGAGTAGAGCAGATAAGGGAAAGAGAGAGTAGGCAGCAACATTAGGGAATGAACAAAGGAAATGAGAGAGGAAGCCCTAGGGGATGAAACCTGAAAGATTCAATTGTACTTAAATACTATGAAATGGAAAAGGAGATTTGTTTGTTTTAAGCTCTTTAAGGACACCTGCTATAACCCAACTTTTGTATGTGATGTAGGTAAACCAGTTACTTCAGGTAGCACAGAAATGCCAGAGCACAATTTCTGAAGGTGGATCTGAGGGGGTTTCTCAGCAAGACTTGCAAACAAACAGCAATATGTGGGTTAATTGAACTAATGTGAAATTCTTTCTTTTCCATGACTTAATGTTGTTGATAATGCTCACTTGAATATTGGAAAAATGCTCAAATTAGGTTTTTCCACTTGAATATTGGAAAAATGCTCAAATTAGGTATTTCCACTAGCATTGGAAAATGCTCAAATTAGGTTTTTCCACTAGCATTGGAAATATGCTCAAATTAGGTTTTTCCACTAGTATTGGAAATGACGATTTTGCCCTCATTATTTAGCCTATAAATAGTGAGCAATTTCATTCATTTTGATATGTCCCAAGCAAACATTTGCTTTGAAACACTCTTCTCTTTTGAGTGTTGTTTGAGTTGAGACAAGAGCAATACCACCAAGTTCACTCCAGTTTTCGGGTGTAAAAATTCTTGGAGAGTCGTGTTAACCTTGGGGGAACGGTCCGCCTACTGCAGCGATTACACACATCGGGGCGAATTCGTTTCTAAGGAAGTGGTTTTACCACGACACGGTTTATGAATATGTTTCTTTTAAATTACTATTTATCTTTCTTGTCAGTACTAACGGTGTGATTTTGCAGTCCATATTTCCAACAATTTAGAAACGAATTCTATATACTGCAATCATGACAACACCTTTGAGCAAACTGATTCCCAATCTTTCCAAGCTCGATGCACTTGATGGAAAGAATTATAGAATGTGGTCCCAACGAATTCTGATATTTTTCGAGCAGCTTGATCTTGACTACGTGCTGCTCAAGCCATCACCTACCATGCCGCCAACCCCAACTACTGGTAATGATACGGATTCAGTCCTGAATAATGATGCCTTAGTAACTGCCACCGCCGCTCTCGCTACCTACGAGAAAGACAATAAAACGGTGTGAGGACATCTGCTCAGTCACATGTCAAATAAATTATTTGATATGTTTCTTAGAGAAAGGAGTGACAAGGTGATTTGGGAAACTCTGGAGGAAAAGTATGGTGCAGATGATGCGGGCATAAAAAAGTACGTTGTCGGTGAATGGCTTAAATTCTATATGAAAGACGACAAACCGATAATGGATCAAGTTCATGCCTATGAGAACTTGGTCGCTGACATCATTGCCGAAGGGATGCAAATGTATGAGGTACTACAAGCCAATGTTCTCATTGAGAAGCTTCCCAAGTCCTGGTCCGACTACCGTAATTCTCTTAAGCATAAGAAGAGAGAAATTTCACTTGAAGAGTTGGTGGGCCATATGAAGATTGAAGAAGCCAATCGTTTAAAAGATAAGGTTACTAATTCTCTGAGTAATTTATCTTTTAAAGCTAACTTGGTTGAGTCTATATTCAAGAAGATCATGAAACGAGGGAATCAAGATAATAAGACAAAACTTCATAAGGCTACCAACTTCAAGAAGTCAGGAAAGGCCAAACCTGAAGGAAAGATGTTCAAGTGTTATATATGTGGTTTAGCTGGCCAAAAAGCTTATCAATGCCAACACCGCTCAGACCACCAGAATGATAACAAGTCATAGATGCACGTTGTAGAAAAAGATGATGAAATCATTGTTGCGGTGGTCTCAGAAGTTAATCTAGTGGAAAATAATTCGGAATAGGTAGTTAACACTGGTGCTTCAAAGCACTTTTGCGCAAGGAATGAGTTATTAACCGAATTCGAGAATGGGAACATAGGTGAACGTGTGTACATGGGGAACTCTGGCAGCTCTGAAGTGTTAGGAAAAGGCAAGGTTTTACTCAAGTTAACTTCTGGTAAAACTCTAGCCTTAAATAATGTTCTGTATGTACCTGCTTTGCGTAGAAATTTGATAAGTGGTGGGATTATGAATAAGGCAAACATTAAGATAGTTTTTGAGGCAGATAAACTCGTATTTTCCCGAAATGGTGATTATGTTGGGAAATGTTTTTTAAACAATGGTTTATTTGTCAGAGAAACTCAATTTAGTGAAAATAAAGCTACCACTTCTGCTTATATTGTTGAATCCATTGATATGTGGCATGCTAGATTAGGACACTTGAATATTCATGCTTTAAATAAATTGATGGATATGAATGTTCTGCCTAAACTAGACATAACTAGCTTTAACAAACATGAAATTTGTGTAAAAGCCAACCATAATAGACCTCATTTTAAGATTGTTTCTAATAGAAAGACTGAACTGTTAGAACTCATTCATACTGATCTAGCAGATTTTAGAAACACTGAAAGTAAAGGGGGAAAACACTACTCATAACTTTTGTAGATGATTATTCAAGATATACAAAAGTTTATCTCCTAATAAGTAAAGATAAAGATGAAAACTTCTTTGTTATTTATAAGAAAGAAGTTGAAAATCAGTTAGATAGAAGAACCAAACGAGTTAAATCTGATAGAGGTGGTGAATATGGATCTAATTTTTTAAAAGATATTTGTGAAAAGAATGGCATAATTCATGAAACTTCAGCCTCTATTTTCTTCAACAAAATGGTATAGCCAAAAGGAAAAATAGAACTTTAAAAGAAATGATGAATTCTTTACTGGTAAGTTTAGGGTTATCTAATAATATGTGGGGGAAGCCATTCTATCGGCAAATCATATCTTGAACCAAGTTCCTCATAAGAAATTAGATTCTACCCCATATGAATTATGGAAAGGATACGCTCCTAATTTACAATACCTGAAAGTGTGGGGGTGTCTGGCCAAAGTGGGTTTGCCATACTTTATGAAGTCTACCATCGGACCTAAAACCGTTGATGCAGTGTTTATAGGGTATGCTATGAATAGTATTGCATACAGATTCATATTTTTACAAGATTATTCTATTTGTGAGTCAAGAGATGCCAAATTAATCAAGCACATTATATAAAGAAAGTGATAAAGAAATTTGACAGTTTTGATGTCGTCCCTATTAAAACTCCTTAAGACCCTAACATACATCTCTTTAAGAATAAAGGAAGTAGCATTTTCCAAATAGAAAATGCTAAATTAATCGGAAGCTTAATGTTCTTAATGAACTATACTCGGCCTGATATTGCTTATGATGTGATAAAGAAAGTTATTTTCATCCTTTAACGAAGGTATGCATCGATGTACTACACCATGTATCGATGCATCCCTTGACGGGTGCATCGATGCACAATCTATGCATCAGTACATAAATCCCATTCGATGTTTGTATTTTAAGGGGGTGCATCGATGCACTACTTGTGCATCGATACACTAATGACATTCGATGTTTTTATTTTAAAGGAGTGCATCGATACACCTCATATGCATCGATACACCTTGAACAATTTCTGGGATTTTACCCTTGATGCATCGGTACACATTGAATGTGCATCGATGCACACAGCCCAGAAATTTTATTTTAGCATGAAAATCTCTTCATAATCCTCTCAACTCTTTATATTTCCCATCTTTTTATCTCCTTAACCTGCATACATCTACTTAAACTAATTAATACCCATTCAATACCTCTTATACTTAAAAATTCAATCCTCCACATAGATTTCAAGAATCTCCCTCAAATTCCAACATGTTCTAAATCTAATTTTAGCACTTCGTATGTCTTATTTAAGTCGATAACAAGTCAAATTCAATCTCCGATTCCAAATATGAACTCTTTTTCAAAATTCCATTCAAGCACTCCTAATGTTTAATTCTTTCTACACTCTTTATCTTGTTGTTTTAAAGCAAATTAAGCTTTCCTTAAGCTTAATTAACATCTAAGAAGCAAAACCAAACTTAAATTTCAGCAAACAATTAGCTTATGAAAAATCTCACCTTTGCTATAAGTCTTCACGTTTGGGAGAAAAGAAGAGAAGAAGAGAAGAAGAGAACTGGAACCTTGGTTTTTCTTTCTTCTCTTCAACGTGGAGCTAATATATATAAATCCCTTCTTTAATTATTTTCCTTGCAAAAGACCATTCTATCATTCTATTCTTTCTTCTTTATAATTTGATCCTACACAACATTTCATATAAGTCCTTGCACTAATCAATTATTATACTTTAAATCACCAAATTCTGAAACTTTATAATTTAGTCACTAACCCGGTATTGAGGATGTTACAAATCTCCCCCTAAAGAAAATTCGTACTCAAATTTTCATTGCATGAAGAGATGGGGGTACCAATTCCTCATATCCTCTTCATGCTCCCATGTTTCTTCCTCTACTTTGTGATTTCTCCACAATACTTTGACTAATGGAATAATCTTGTTCCTTAATTGCTTAATCTCATGAGCTAAGATTTGGACCGGTTCTTCCTCATATGTTAAATCCGATTGAATCTCGATCTCTTCTGGAGTCACAATGTGGGAGGGATCATATCGATACTTCCAAAGCATTGAGACATGGAAGACATCATGAATCTTTTCCATTTCAGGTGGCAATGCTAATTGATATGCCACTGGTCCAACTCTCTTTACAATCTCATAAGGTCCAATGAATCGATGACTTAACTTTCCTCTTCGACCAAATCTCAAAACCTTCTTCCAATGAGACACTTTGAGAAACACTTTATCTCCTATTTGATATTTGATCTCTTTTCTCTTTAGATCCGCGTATGATTTTTGTCTATCATCTGCTTCTTTGAGATTACTTTGAATTACTCTAACCTTTTCTTCCACTTCTTGTATCAACTCCGGACAAGAATTTCTTTGTCTTTAATCTCGAACCAATTTAGAGGCGTACGACATCTTCTTCCATAAAGAGCTTCATAAGGTGCCATTTTGATACTTGATTGATAACTATTGTTGTATACGAATTCAACAAGAGGCAAGTACCTTTCCCATGATTCTTTGAACTTGATAACACAAGCTCTCAACATATCCTCCAAAATTTGGATTGTTCTCTCGGATTTCCCATCGGTTTATGGATGAAACGTTGTATTAAAGTTCAACCGAGTTCCCAACGCTTTATGTAATGATTTCCAAAACTGTGAAGTAAATCTAGGATCTCGATCTGAAACAATAGAAACATGTACACCATGTAGACATATAATCTCTCTGATATATAACTTAGCATACTTATCCATGGAAAAGTCAACTTATACTGGAATAAAATGAGTTGACTTAGTCAATCTGTCTACAATCACCCAAATGGAATCTCTTTTATTCGGGGTCAAAGGTAACCCCATTACAAAATCCATTGTTACATTCTCCCATTTCCACTGAGGAATAGACATAGGTTGAAACAGTCCGGATGGAACCTGATGTTTGGCTTTGACTTGCTAACACGTCAAACATTTGGATACGAATTTCGTAATGTCTCTCTTCATTCCAGGTCACCAATATCGACTCTTGAGATCCATATACATTTTATTTCCTCCCGGATGCATAGTCAATGGACTACAATGAGCTTCTATTAACAAGTCTTTCTTCCACTCATCATCATCTGGAATTACTAGCCTCCCTTGATAATATAGGTTCCCATCAGCTTTCACTTCATAATTTGTAACCTCTCCATTCCTTATCTGTTGTAACTTCTTTAAACATTTTTCATCTCTAGCTTGCAATTCTTTAATTCGATCTAGCCATGATGGCTTGAGAGTCAATTCTGCACATATGGCACGGTCTCCTCTTAATGATAGTCTGGCATCCAAAGCTTTTAAGGCTGCAAACATCTTTCGACTTAAGGCATCCGCTACCACATTCGTTTTCCCCGGATGAAAAAACGATCACTATATCATAATCCTTTAAGAATTCCACCCATCTTCATTGTATTAAATTTAACTCCTTCTGAGTCATCAAATATTTCAAACTCTTATGATCCGTATACAAGTAGCATCGCTCACCATACAAATAGTGACGCCAGATCTTAAGAGCAAACACTACTGTCGCCATCTCCAGATCATGTGTTGGATAATTCTTCTCATGTGGTTTTAATTGCCTCAAAGCATAGGCCACCACTTTGTCTTCTTGCATTAACACATATCCCAACCCGTTATGAGACGCATCACTATACACTACAAAGTTCTTGTCAGACTCGGGTTGAACCAAGACTGGAGCTTCTGTCAAAATCTTCTTTAACTTTTCAAAACTCTCTTGGCACTCTGAAGTCCAAGAAAATTTTACCTCTTTCCTCAATAACTTGGTTAGGGGTAATTCTATTATCGAAAAGTTTTTAACGAACCTTCGGTAATAGCCAGCTAACCCTAGAAAACTCCGAACTTCTGACACATTCTTTAGAACTACCCACTCTAAAATAACTTTCATTTTTTGGGGATCTACTCGAATCCCTTCTGCAGAAATTACATATCCAAGATATGTCACTTCCTTCAACCAGAATTCATATTTGGAGATTTTGGCATAAAGCTTCTTTTCTCTCAAAGTTTGTAGAACGATCTTCAAATGCGAACTATGCTCTTCTTCCGACTTCGAATACACTAAAATATCGTCAATGAATACCACAACGAATTAATCCAAATAAGGTTAAAATATTCGGTTCATGAGATCCATGAAAGCAGCAGGGGCATTCGTAACTCCAAACGGCATCACGATAAACTAATAATAACCATACCTCGTTCTGAATGTCGTCTTTGGAATATCTTTATCTTGAATCTTCAATTGATGGTACCCAAAACGTAAATCAATCTTTGAAAACACTAAATCTCCCTTTAACTGATCAAACAAATCATCAATTCGGGGGAGGGGATACTTATTCTTGATGGTCACTTTATTGAGTTGCCTATAATCATTGCAAAGATGCATAGATCCATCCTTCTTTTTTACGAACAAAACTGGAGCTCCCCATGGTGAGACACTCGGTCTGATAAACCCTTTGTCCAGTAATTCTTGTAATTGGATCTTTAATTCTTGTAACTCATTTGGGGCCATTTTGTATGGTGACATGGCAATAGGTCCAGTTCCCGGCATTACTTCAAACTGAAATTATACCTCTCTGTCTGGAGGCAAACCCGGTAACTCTGCAGGAAAAACGTCAGAAAAACTCTCTGACTATAGGAATTTCTTCAATCCCCTTCTCTTTTTCTCTCACATCCAGCACACTTGCAATAAACCCTTGACATCCCTGTAGTAATAACTTATTTACCGACATCACTGATATTACATTAGCCAATGGGTTTCATCCTTCACTAAATACAATAACTTATATATCTTCTGAACTTCTCAACGTTACTCTTTTCAGTCTACAATTAATATTAGCGTAATAACGATATAACCAGTCCATTCCCAGTATCACCTCGAATTTGTCAAAAGGTAATTCCATCAGATTAGCTGGGAATTTAATTCCCTGAATCTGTATGGGACACCCTCGACATACCATATTAACTCGAGCACTGCGTCCTAACAGATTAGTCACTATTACCTCACTGCTAGTAGATTCTAACGAAATATTCAATTCTTTCACTAACTTACTGCAAATGTAAGAATATGTAGACCCCGAATCAATCAATACAAACACATTCTTGTAATACAACTGAAAGATACTTGTTATTATTTCTGGGTCATCTCTATCCTCGCTAGTCTTGAGATTATACACCCGAGCTGTGGAGAGTATCTCTTGTGGAGTCGAGGATTCTGACTGACTTCTTCCTCTACCTCTACCTCTACCTCTTCCTCTCTGGATAGCCGAGGCAGACCTCTCTGGATGAGCAGATTTACCCGCTAACATGGAATAAACCCGAACAAAAAGTCCGGTGTCCCCACATTTAAAACAGGCTCCAGAAATCATTCTACATATCCCCGAATGGTTCCTTCCACATTATGTACATTGTCTGACTTGGCTCGGGTTAGATCTCCCAGCTCCAGATCCCACTGACTGTGTCTGTCGACCCCTCATCTGATTTGATCCCCTTGCAGAAGATGCAACTGACTCTGATCTTGCTTGGGGTCAAGAACTCACATCTCTGCCACTTTTTTATAGTACAGCACTCGATGATGCGCCCGATCTTTTTGAAGTCTGAACTCGAGAATCCCCGAACCTCTCATTTTAAGCTCTTTCCAGAGCTTTAGCACGGTTCACCACTTCTTGAAACGAAGATAAATTCAACACAATAAGCATCTCTTTCAGACGAGGACGCAATCCCTCAACAAACCAATCACAAACATCCTTCTCTGTAGGAATTAACTCTGCAGCGAAACGGCTCAACTTGTTGAATTCACATTCGTACTCATACATTGTACGATTCTATTTCTTCAAATTCATGAACTCTTGCTTCATCTGTCGGATGAACTGATCTCCGATATATTTATACTTGAACTCTTCTAAGAACAAAGACCAAGTTACTTGATTACCGGGCATTCTTAATGTAACGTTGGTCCACCAAATCCTTGCTTGCCCTCGGAGCAATGAGACTATTCCATCCAGCTTCTCTGGATCGGAACAATGAAGTCCCTCAAGCATGATTTTTACATCATTAATCCAAAGGTTTGCAGCAACAAAACCTTCTTCGGCTTCACCTCTAAACTCTGGTGCTCCTAAACCCTTCAACTTCTTTGCAATATTCATTCTTGGAGTTGAAGTAACAGAAGGTTGAAAACGCACCAATACCGCGTCCATTGTTCTGAAGAACACATCTTGATCACTTACAGGTACTCCAGAGGGTGTCTGATCTTCACTCTGCCTGGCCAGGGCAGGTGAATTACTACTTTCAACGGGCCTATCATCTCCCACTTCACTTCTAGAGCTACCATGTCTGGACATCTATAAAAACATACCCATATCATTCTATCAGCAAAACAGTATACTTACTATTATATCATATCAGAAGTTTTTACTATTTTGTTGGCATATATACTTTATAGGACACTCTAGACTTCGGTTTATGCCGAGAATCGACTAAATCGTAGCTTTGATACCATTAAATATAACACCCTTAACCCATATCCGACCTGAATATGAGTCCGAGGTGTCACATTGACTTTTCAAACTTTGACACTTAAAGAAAAACAGGGAAATTTTAAACTTTCATTAAAACCAAATACATTAATTTACATAAAAGAGACCACAAAATACAAAATCGATCAGAGCATTCGTAATTAACCACGTATTACATGCCAACACTCTATACACAACCAAAATACCTACTTTGTCAATTACTTCTGATCTGGTCTTTTAGTAGTGATGTTGTCCTTGCCGCCTCTATTACTGCTCCTCTTGATTCTTGGTACCTACGTGTAAATCACTTACACGCTAAGTCATAGACTTAGTGAGGCATAATATAAATATATATATATATATATAACAATGCATTCATGAACATGCATTCTTACCATCTGATCATGACATCTTTATTTGTATGCATCTATTTCACTATAACATATATAACGGTAACATGCACATATAAAACATATATTCTTATGTTAATTCCACTTTAACTTATCTTTTAATTGCCCATGTACATTATGGAGAACAAAGGTATGTGAGTACATAGAGGTTGTGCAATATGCTATCACCACAGCTCGTATAATTCCCTCAAGGGGCACTGAATATTTGTCCCGAAGGACCACTATGTCCCGAAGGACCACTTATTATTCCGAAGAACCACTGTGTCCCGAAGGACCACTGATAATCCCTCGACTCTTGGTATGCCAATTATACCTATAGCTCTCATATTAAATAACACGGGCTTAATTATAAATATATTTCTCATTTCATATATCTTTCATCATTGTCCATGTAAACACATAAGTCACTTCATATGATCATTTTCATTATTTCACATATCTGGAAGAATTCTCTGAAAATGGCATTCATTCATATAATACCATGTTAATCATGAAAGAAAAATGCATGAAATCACTATAACGTTAACACATATATATGTATGCATGTGCATGAATATAAAATCATAAATTCAATTATTAGAGATAGACTTATCGCAAGTCTTGTCTCAATTCCATTTCATCTAGGATATGCACTCACCTTGGCCTTGCTTATTTTGACTTGATCCTAATCCTTTGTTTGTTCCGAAACGAAATTACGGTTTATATCTATATAGTAATACATTGATACTAATCAGTATACTAATTAATATATTCTAAACTATCACTCCTTAGGTTAAAAAGAAAGTTATTTTCATCTTTTAATGAAGGTATGCATCTATGCACTACACCATGTAACAATGCATCCCTTGACGGGTGCATCGATGCACAATCTATGCATCGGTACATAAATCCCATTCGATGTTTGTATTTTAAGGGGGTGCATCGATGCACTACTTGTGCATCGATATACTAATGACATTCGATGTTTTTATTTTAAAGGAGTGCATCGATACACCTCATGTGCATCGATACACCTTGAACAATTTCTGGGATTTTACCCTTGATGCATCGGTACACATTGAATGTGCATCGATGCACACAACCCAAAAATTTATTTTAGCACAAAAATCTCTTCATAATCCTCTCAACACTTCATATTTCCCATCTTTTTATCTCCTTAACTTGCATACATCACATTAAACTAATTAATACCCATTCAATACCTCTTATACTTAAAAAATTCAATCCTCCACATAGATTTCAAGAATCTCCCTTAAATTCCAACATGTTCTAAATCTAATTCTAACACTTTGTATGTCTTAATTAAGTCGATAACAAGTCAAATTCAACCTCCGATTCCAAATATAAACTCTTTTTCAAAATTCCATTCAAGTACTCCTAATCTTTAATTATTCCTACACTCTTTATCTTGTTGTTTTAAAGTAAATTAAGCTTTCCTTAAGCTTAATTAACATCTAAGGAGCAAAACCAAACTTAAATTTCAGCAAATAATTAGCTTATGAAAAATCTCACCTTTGCTATAAGTCTTCACGTTTGGGAGAAAAGAAGAGAAGAAGAGAACTCTGGAACCTTGGTTTTTCTTTCTTCTCTTCCATGTGGAGCTAATATATATAAATCCCTTCCTTAATTATTTTCCTTGCAAAAGACCATTCTATCCTTCTATTCTTTCTTTTTTTATAATTTGATCCTACACAACATTTCATATAAGTCCTTGCACTAATCAATTATTATACTTTAAATCACCAAATTCTAAAACTTTACAATTTAGTTTCTAACCCGAAATTGAGGATGTTACAAGTTAGACACTTAATAAAGAATGAAGTGCTCTCTTTAGAGTATGTGAAGTCGGAAAGGAACCTAGCAGATCCACTTACCAAAGGGTTAAGTAGGAAGCTGGTCCTAGATTTGTCGAGGGGGATGGGTCTAAAGCCCATTAGTTGAGGAATTCATGGTGGATACCCAACTTAGTTATCTAAGTTCCATGTGGTCAAGCGAAACCATGGAAATACTCATAGTGCACATTCCTACTGCCTATCCCTATGATGAATAATGTGCATGCCCAGGATGAGCTTAATTGCTCTTAATAAATTCATAGCCCAGGCTTTGGGTGGTCTTAGTCAGAAAGACTTGGTGAATTTATCAATTTTTTGGCTAAATATCTATTTTTAATACGTTCATAACCCAGAGTTAAGTGGGTAGTTCTAATCGCGAAGGACTATATGAACTTACCGCTTGAGAGGGTGAGTTTTATTAAACTCTTAATGAATTCAAACCCAAGAGTTTGGGAGTTCCTAGTGAGAAGGACATATTGAATGGGAGTTCCTAGTGAAAAGGACATATTGAATTCACCGAATTATGAGGTTGAATATTTATTCTTAATGATTTCTTATCCCAGAGTTTGGGTGGTTCATTTTTAATGAACTTGAAGAAAGTCATCATACCCTTTGTGAGGTTGAGCTATTATAAAAGCTCTTAATTATTTCATAGCTCAATTTGAGTGGTTTATTTTGAGATAAACTTGATGAAATAACCTACGTAAGTGAGAAGGATTAGCCACCTTCTATGAAAAATGTTGGGCCGTTTTTCTAGTACACTTATTAGAATCATGAGGAAAGAGGACTAAACATATATACGCTTTTGTATATATTCTTTGTAGACACATCGAGGACTTTGGTGGATGAAGGGGTTAGTTGTGTTATGAGTTTACCCTAATCTTAGAAAGTTCAAGACTAGTTTCACTAGTGCTTAAGCAACTAATCTCGCTATTGCTCTTCTCATGTTTTAACTTCATTACTCTCATTTTTACGAAGGAATTATTTCGCGTTAGTGGGGGAAAGTTGATAATGCTCACTAGAATATTGGAAAATGCTCAAATTAGGTTTTTATACTTGAATATTGGAAAAATGCTCAAATTAGGAATTTCTACTTGGAAAAATGCTCAAATTAGGTTTTTCCACTAGCATTGGAAATATGCTCAAATTAGGTTTTTCCACTAGTATTGGAAATGATGATTTTGCCCTCATTATTTAGCCTATAAATAGTGAGCAATTTCATTCATTTTGATATATCCCAAGCAAACATTTGCTTTGAAACATTCTTCTCTTTTGAGTGTTGTTTGAGTTGAGACAAGAGAAATACCACCAAGTTCACTCCAATTTTCGGGTGTACGAATTCTTGGACAGCCGTGTTAACCTCGGGGGAACAGTCCACCTATTGCAGTGATTATACACATCGGGGCGAATTCGTTTCTAAGGCAGTGGTTTTACCACGACACGGTTTATGAATCTGTTTTTTTTAAATTACTATTTATCTTTCCTGTCAGTGCTAGCGGTGTTATTTTGCAGTCCATATTTCCATCAAATGACACTTATCAGATTCAAGAGATTACTTGTTTCAAACCATGTAAATATGATTTTTCTGATTGTTACCCTCCTTGAGTGCCACTAAGCCAGAGAGGCACCAAAAAAGTGATTTTGCAGGGTCTTGAAATATTAGTGTTTGTTTAAATTGAGCTTTTGGTCGTACGACCTTATACTCTTTATTTATTTATTTTTTAACTAAGGATCAAGTAAAGTTATTTACCAAAAAAAGTTATTAGTTTAATTATTAGTTTTGGCATTTTGCATTTAAGTAAATAGATATTCAATTCTGAGTTTCCTTACAATTTTTGCATAATTTGTTGTAGATTGCTGAGGTTGTAAGTAGCATGAAAGATCTAATAGATTTTTGTCGAGAACACAAGGTTGGGCCAATTGGTAAGTTGTGCATTTGCCTTGCTGACCTATGTCGTTTTGATAGTTTTATTTTGTTCATCACATCAAATGGTCACAATCATGGAATTGTATTTAACATGCAACTGCTTTTATTTCTAACTATAATGCGGCATGCTTTCTTCTTTTATTAATGTCTAGAGAATAGTAATTCCATGCTTTTATTTTGAACTGTTTCTCATGTAGCATGAGATGATCTTCAGATGCCTCATGCTAGCGTTTCATTTTTGTTTTGGTACCTGTTGAAAAATAATGATAATTTGATTCTAGCCTTCTGTTTGCTTAATAACCATATTTGCAGATGGCTTGAAAAACTATCCTCTACATGCCAGTGCAGCCAAGCTCCAAATGCAAAAATTGCAGGAAATGGAGCAGTTAGCGAACGCTCAGGGTCTGCCAACTGACAGGAATACCCTCAATAAGCTAATGGCACTTCCTAGGATAAGCAACCCAATGGATAGCAGCCAGCAGCAGATGGTTGGTCGAGGAACTTTAAGCGGTTCAGCACAAGCTGCTATGGCACTTTCTAACTACCAGAATATGCTCAGTAGGCAGAACTCGATGCATTCAAACCCCAACTCAATCAGGAAGCCTCTTCTTCCTTCAATAATTCTAACCAGAGTCCATCGTCAAATTTCCAAGGACCTGTTACGGTGTTATCAGGATCCATGCAGACCCTGCCTGTTAGTGGCTTATCGAGTCCCCATTTGCCAACTCAACAGCAGCTTACTGTAAGCGATAATAACTTGGTCCAAAAGAACCATCTGTAGCCCTCTCATGGTAACCAGGTTTTACAACAACAAATGATTCAACAGCTTTACCATGAGATGTCTAATAACAATACCGAAGTTCGACAACAGCAACAGCAGTCCCTTAGTTGGCAGAATGGGAATGCCAGTTTGGGAAGAAACTTTGGTAGCATCGGGAAGTGCAGCTGGGCCTGCCCCGAGTCGAAGCAACAGTTTTAAAGGTGCTTCAAACAGTGACTCCTCAGCAGCTGGTGGCAATGCTGGATTCAACCAGAGAGCACATGATTTGCCTGAGTCTCTCCATTTGCAGGATGATATAGTTTTGGATATAGCTCATGAGTTCTTGGATAGCGGGTTCTTTAACATTGAACTTGACGATTATGGCTGGAAGGCATGACTAACATTATGTGGCCCAGTTAAGGGCTCTCCCATTCGGTGAGTATTGGAGCAAATTGTTGTACGGAGCATTGGACATAGGTGCTCTTTCTTCCCATTGTTTTATCTTTCCCGGCCACTTTAATATGGCATTGTTGTGACAACACTTGCTTTGTGCTTTCAGTAGGGATTTAGGTATCAATTTCCTTTTCCCCTTCTCTTTTTTGTTTTCTTTTTGAAGGATTTCCAGTTTTCAAGTCTTGCAAATGTAATCTATTTGGGAACAGATTATGTTTCCTATAATTTGATGTTTGCTTGTTTCACTGCCCATAATTCATTGCAGCATCAGCATCAACTGCCCTTAGAATGAAGTAGTAAGTAGTGCATTCAATATCATTTGTTCCCAACCTCTTGTGCCTCTCTGTATTAAGCTTTCGGTGAAAGTACGAAAACTAGATGAAGATGCACCTTTTTCTGTTACAGGTGATGCCGAGGAAAGCTTACATTTCTCTTTTTTGAGCAAGTAACTTGAAGCACACTTTCCTGTGGAATCGAGCATCTCTGAACTATCCGTTTCTTGTTGCTGAACTCCGCCCAGTAACCCGACTTGCAAGACCGTTTTTCTGACAACTCGTTATTCGAGCTGTTAAATGAAGCAGATGGTGACGCAATTTAGAAATATAATTCTCAGCCTTCCTTTCCATGTAGCCTACTGAATTTCATTTCTCTGACTGAACATCGAATGAAAGCCTAATGCAGCCAGTTGACACGAAGCTCACCCAAGCCATTGGAAATTCCGGTGAAACATGTACTTATGAACTTGTTGTCAGCCAATTTATGACTTGAACTGTCCCGCTGTTTCACTCTGCAACTCCTCAGGTACCCTTAGACGGATTTATAGGGAAGCCATACCAAAAGAAGCTTATATGCAAACACAATTCTATCACTCATAAAAGTTTCACCATAGCAAGTCCGTTTAATTGTCTCTGTTGGATGCATCAATGGCCTCCGATATGTTATCTTTTGTTATGGAAGGGTTAAGCTCTTGAGACAAAAAGGCATACACTATGATTCCTCCTATGGCATTCCAACTCTTATTGCTCGTGCTCTTTAAAATTCTACAGGCTATGTCAAGTAGTTCGCCTCGATGGTGCGGACGACACGAGAGATTTCAGGGAAGGGTATCAGGTCCATGAAATTTTATAAAATCACCACAACCATCCATTTGGGATCCTTTGTAAGCTTCACCAATACTGCATAACGCCAGAAAAACAAAAAGACAGCTTGGGAAACACTTACAAAGATTCAATTACCAAGCACGGGGACAAAAACATCAAATCCACAATTTGTCTACAATTACAAATATTCATCGAGATAAATCACAAAAGAAGATAAGAACAAAACATAGATGAAATACAGCATCCCCAAGAATTATCTTCCAGGGTCGTTAAAGAAAATGAAAGGAACCATACATAGATGAAATACTTCGTAAGCTTACTATAATGCAAGCAATCATGGAAACATAATAGATATTAGATTTAATGATGTAAAAAAACAAACTTTCTGTAAATGCGTGCAGTGAAAGGAGAAGGGGAAGGTACCCTTTCTTTTGTAGAGAGAGAGAGTAAAAGAGGGCATAGATCCTAAGATAAGCTAAAAGGACTAAGAATTCTGAATCCCACTTTTTAATCACCTTTCTTCAAGTAAAGAATTAATGATTCAGAACATAGTGGTTGAATCTTAATTTATTTGACACCTTTTAGAGGCCATAAGTTTAAACTACTCAATTATGGGTTGTCTCCGAATTACAAAACATATAAATGATATGTGTTTCTTACATAGTAGATTTCAATCAAATGAATCAATCATTCAACAAAACTATGCCATATATCTGTTAAATCAAACACAATAATGGAGCCGGACAAAAATTGTGTAGATAAGAACCCCAACGTGACTCTCTTCTTTCTCACTAATGATTCAGCCCAATGTTCTATAATCACAGTCTAACTACTCAAATTTCGAGTCAACATTCGTGTGTTGCCTCAAGCTTCAATAATTATGAATTATATATGTTCATTAGGGTGATACGTATTGGGCCAAAAGTGAAGTAAATGGGAGATTTTTTTTAATAAGGGTGATAAGAAGAATGATCAATAATTTTATTAAACCATTTGTGCTTAACTTGTGCATAATTTTATTGTATTTTACTTGAGTTATTTGGGATAATGACTGAACATGTCATTGTCCCTCTTTTTCATCTTCTTATCCTTTTCTTTCGTACCTTCATCTTCTTCCCTCTTTTTTCCTTTAGCTTGAAGCCTTTTCAAAGGAGATATATTTCTGAATATCATTGCTCCTATCATTTCTGTCAAGGCAAGATTTTTCCTCCTCTTTCCATGAGCTTCTAGATGAATTCAAGAGCTCTAAAAGTGAGAATTTTTGACACTTTTGACAAAAATGATATTTTTGTTTTGTTGGTGTAAGAAATAAAGTTTTTACAATGCATTCTTCATTTTCATTTTATTTCTTTCTTCGTTTTTTCATTCTAAGCTTCAAGATATGGTTTTTGACCCCTCTTTGTCTGTTTGAGTGCACAAGAGGTTGGGAACAAAAGATATTGAATGCACTATTTCATTCTAGGGCAGCTGATGCTAATGATGCAATGAATAATGGGCAGTGAAACATGTAAACATCATATTATAAGAAACAGAATCTGTTCCCAAAGTTTGTTCAATAGATTACACTTGCAAGACTTGAAAACTGGAAATCCTTAAAAAAAAATATAACAAAAAAGAGAAGAGGAAGGAAATTGTTAACTAAATCCCTACTGAAAGCACAAAGCAAGTGTTGTCGCAACAATGCCATATTAAAGAGGTCGAGAAAGATAAAATAATGGGAAGAAATGGCAGCTTTTTAGAATGATATGTACAACGATTTGCCCCGATACTCACCAAATGGGAGAGCCTTTAACTGGGCCACATAATGTTAGTCATGCCTTCCAGCCATAATCGTCGTCAAGTTCACTGTTAAAAAACCCGTTATCCAAAAATTCTTGAGCTATATCTGAAACTATATCATCATGCAAATGAAGACTATGAGGCAAATCAGGTGCTCTCTGGTTGAATCCAGCGTTGCCACCTGCTGCTGAGGAGTCACTGTTTGAAGCACCTTTAAAACTGTTGCTTCGACTCGGGGCAGGCCCAGCTGCACTTCCCGATACATTATGGGTGGCTGCAGCTGGTTGAGCAGTGGTGTTGCTACCATAGTTTCTTCCCGAACTGGCATTCTCATTCTCCCCGCTCAGGGAATGCTGTTGTTGTTGTTGAACTCCGGTATTGTTATTAGACATCTCACGGTACAGCTGTTAAATCATTTGTTGTTGTAAAACCTGGTTACCCTGAAAAGGCTGCGGATGGTTTTTTTGGATTAAGTTATTACCGCTTACTGTAAGCTGTTGCTGCTGTTGAGTTGGTAAATGGGGACTCGATAAGCCACTAATAGGCAGGATCTGCATGGATCCTGATAACACCGTAGCAGGTCCTAGAAAATTTGAAGATGGACTCTGGTTAGAATTATTGAAGGAAGAAGAGGCTTCCTGATTGAGTGAGTTAGGGTTTGAATTCATCGAGTTTCGCCTACTGAGCATATTCTGGTAGTTAGAAAGTGCCAAAGCAGCTTGTGCTGAACCGCTTAAAGTTCCTCGACCATCCATCTGCTGAGTGGTACCCATTGGGTTGTTTATTCCAGGACGAAGTGCCATTAGATTATTGAGGGTATTCTTGTCAGTTGGCAGACCCTGTGCATTCGCTAACTGCTCCATTTCCTACATTTTTTGCATTTGGAGCTTAGCTGCACTGGCATGTCTAGGATAGTTTTTCAAGCCATCTGCAAATATGGTTTTTAAGCAAACAGATGGTTTAGGATCACAGCTATAAAATTTCTCCCATTTCAAATAAAATAAACTGTTGTCCCTAACCAATAGGTAGATGATGCAAATGAAACATTTTGACTAACATCAATAGTAATTTATAAAATAAATAAATAGTGACATGCTACGTGTACATTGGCCAATATCTGCATGTTATCATTTTGACTAACACCAACCCATAAAACTGGTATAATTAAGGAGCCAAATTTTCATATTAACCCAAAACAAAAATGAAACACTAGCATGAGGCAGCTGAATATCATCTCATGCTACATGAGTAAGAATTAAAAGCATGGAATTATTTTTTTGATAGGAATAGCGGAAGGAGGAAAATAGTGCCTTAATATATTAATAACCCATAATTACATAAGATTACCAACCATTACATAAAATTACCTAACATAGAAACATAACCAAAATAAAACACCATAACCACTACTCAAAACAACAAACTCCTCTCTCTAACCAATTCCTGACTTAGCTAGACAATCAGCTTCCACATTAATACATCTACTGATATGCTTAATAATAATATTAGACTGCACAACTGTCTTCTGAATTTCTGAGATCAAATCAACAAGGTGAACCGGACAAATTTTCGGGCTGTTGATCCACTTCACAGCAAGGAACGAGTCACTTTCCAAAATCAGAATACCTTTATCCCTCCAAACTGACTCAAAAAACACTGCTAACCCCACTTTAATAGCAAAAATCTCAGCAAGAATAGGAGAACAAGGTCCTAAAAAAGCATGGAATTATTATTTTCTAGACATTAATAAAAGAAGAAAGCATGCCACATTATAGATAGAATTGAAAGCAGTTGCCTGTTAAATACAATTCCACGATTGTGACCTCTTGATTTGATGAACAAAATAAAACAATCAAAATGTCAGAGGTCAGTAAGGAAAATGCACAACTTACCAATTGGCCCAACCTTGTGTTCTCGACAAAAATCTATTAGATCTTTCATGCTACTTACAACCTCAGCAATCTATAACAAATTATGCAAAAATTGTAAGGGAACTCAAAATTGAGTATCTATTTACTGCAGGTTAAATGCAAAAGGCTAAAATTGTACCTACAAACACCCGACATATATTTTCAAAAACCCCAAGTCATTCAGCGACTGTAACTCCAAACTCTTCACAAGCTGCCGTCCAGCTGTCAGGACCCTAAGAGAAAGCAGCCATGTAATCATGTTGAATCAGCAAAGTTCTAATGAGTAATAAACATGTAATAGCTAAACTACTCACTTTTTTTTTGTAAATAACAACTCACTTAATCCTTAGTTAAAAAATAAATAAATAAAAAGTATAAGGTCCTACAACCAAAAGCTCAACTAAAACAAACAGCAATATTTCAAGACCCTGCAAAATCACTTTTCTGGTGCCTCTGGCTTACTGCACTCAAGGAGAGTAACAATCAGAAAAACCATATTTCCTTAGTTTCTGAAGCAAGTAATCTCTTGAAATCTTAAGGGCTCTGACAAAAGTAATCTGTTAAGTGATATTAGTTCAATTAACTCACATATTGCTGTTTGTTTTCAAGTCCTGCTGAGAAACCCCCTCAGATCCGATGAGAGAGAGAGAGCAAAACGTAGAGAGGAAGAGTCTCAAAGGAAAGTCAGTCTCCGATGAGAACTGGACGGTGTTCATCGACAATCTTAGTAGGAGGGTGTCTCATCATTCATTAAGGGATATTTTCATAGTACATGGTTTTATTGAGAGAGTTTTCATTCCCAAAGTCACTAGGAACCCAAAATACAAATTTTCAACGTTTGCTTTTGTTCAGTTTAGAAGTGAGGATGGTTTGAAGAGGGCAGTCGAGGTCTTAAATGGTGTTCTGATAGATGGGAGGAAGATTTCAGTTGGTCCTGCAAGATATAAGGGAGCTTCTTCCTGGTCTGAGGGAAGGAAGGTTGCTACTATGAAGGTCCTCAGTCAGAACATTGTTGGAACATCCAATTCCAATCAGACGAAAGCTTTAAACAATTGTTTTAGGGATACTAGGTCTTATAAAGAGGTTTTGTTGTTAAACAGAAGTGCAATGGGAAATAAGACGATTTCATCCGATGATATTCATAGGGGGAAAGTCAAGAAAAATACTTTGGAAATGCATATTCCTTCTGAAAGTTTCAATTGGGTTAAAAGATCATTAACGGGGATTATGAAGCACTCATTGTAGATTGAGTCAGTCAAGAATGTGCTATTTAAGGAGGTTTTCGAAGTCCAAATTATTAGATGGGGACATGTGTGGAATTCTTGTGTGATTGTCTTTAATTCATCGGAAGAGATGAAGGATACTTGGCTGAAGAGGAAAGAAGAACTAGAGTTATGGTTTGATCGATTAGCCCCTTTGTTGAATGATGATAGTGTCTCAATGGCCTTTTGTTTGGTGGAACTAGTGGGGGTCCCTCTGTTATGTTGGAATGATCAGTTCTTCAAACAAATAGCATGAAGATGGGGGATAGTTGTTGACATTCACGAAGCCACTAGGAAAAAAGAAGACCTCACAACGGCGAAAATTTTATTAAGGGTGGCAAGTTGTTTTGATGTTCCGGAGGTGATCTCTCTGGGTTCCTATGGAAGATCATTTAAAGTGTGCATCAAGGTGGGATCGGCGTGCCAGTCTTCAAGTTCTTTTTTTGGCAACTCTCCGGTGGAAGTTCACGGTGAGGGACATTGTGGAGAGAAGGTCATTGTAGAGGAAGAATTCAAATTGATATCAAAAAGTGGGAATGATATAGATGGTTCAGCAGAAGATTTTCGGCAAAAAGTTGACAGCTGGTTTGACAATAGAGGATTTTCTGGTTCTGGGGTAGTTAGTGGGGAAAAACAGCTCGGTAGACTTTCTATAGATAGGAATGGCATTAATGGTGGACTATCAGAAAGTCAGAGTATTGGGAGTATAAAAGTTGGTGACTATGTAGGCTTAGGAATTAGAAAGTTAAAATGTTAACTCTGGAAATTTGAATGAAGAAGAGGGAAATGAGTCAGATTCAGAGAAGTGTCTTCAGGCTGAAGTTAGACAAGTTGGGCAGCAGTTAATGTTGTTAGAGCCAAGTATAAATATGGCAGAAAGCTTCTCAAGGGGGAGATCGCGGTACAGAAATAAAAGATTGATGTCTTCAAAAAGTGTCTCATTAGAGAGAAGGAAAACAAGAAGCTATAAGAGGTTTTATTCAAGGTCGACGAATAGGAAATTCTGGCATGGAAATGTTCAGAATGTTACTCCTGAAAGAGAGGAGGATTGGACAAATAAGGAGGAGAATTTTCAGCCCTCAAAAGATGTTCAACAGATAGTGAAAGTGGAGGTTGCAAGAGAGTTTTCAGAAGGCGATAGATCTAGATTCATTTCCGGCTCGGACTTTAGAAGAGCTAAAAGATGCTTGTTAAGGGAAGCTTATGAACAGGTATCAATCTCAACAGTTTCTACTTCAGATTTTTCGATTTTAGTGGAGGAAGCCTTAGCAACTTGGGAAATCAGCAAGTTATTGGGGGTGTCCTTCAAGCAAGGGAAGGAGGCTTTTCTGGATAAGATTATCAGCTTGGAGAAAGCTTTGAATAAGGTTAATCAAGGTAAGCTTGATGGGGATGTAGATTGTGGACTAATTATTGATGAAGATTAATTTTATCATTGCTTCATGGAATGTGAGAGGATTGAGGAGGAAAGAAAAACAGAGGGCTATTCAGAGGTTAATTGATAAAAATCACCCACAGTTTCTTTGGCTGCAAGAAACGAAAATGGAGAAGATTCCTAGATCTATGCTTAGAAGAAAGGGATTTAGTTATTTTAATGGAGTCCTTGAATCTCCATCGGTTGGCTCATCAGGAGGTTTAATGAGTTGTTGGGATGATAAAGTTTTCGAATTAGAAAATTAGTCTATCTACAGAAGATTCATTGTCTTATCCGGAAAATTTCGTGTCAATAATTTCAGTTGTATTTTCATCAATGTTTATGGCCCTTCAGTGAGGAGGAGAAAAATAGTTTTTTTTGAAGAGTTGAGCATGTTCATAAGTGGTCAGAGGGCTCCTATTTGTATAGGGGGGACTTTAATGTTTATTTGCATGATGGAGAGAAGATCGGAAGAACTCAGAACAGGAATTCAATGAGGATATTCAATCTTTTTATGCTGCAAACAGGCTTAATTGATTTACCTTTAAATGGAGGAAGGTTTACTTGGTGCAATAACCAAGATACCCCTACACATGTTAGATTGGACTGATTTTTGGTTGATGGCCAATTTCTTGGTGCATTTCCTGATTTGGTGCAAACCTTACTGCCTAGATCTCTTTCAGACCATAATGCTATTCTGCTGGAGAATGGAGGTGTCAATTGGGGTAAAAAGCCTTTTAAACTTTTTAACTATCTCATGGAAGAAGTTGGGTTTGAGGATTTGGTCAGATCTTCTATTCAAGAAAGGAAGAATCAACAGAGGAAGGCTGGAATTTATAGTATATTGAGAAATACAAAAACTGATATCAAGAATTGGGCGGGCCGTAGGGACCAATTTCCTGGGGCTAGTATCTTAGCCTTAGAATCGAGGATCCACAGTCTAGAATTGGATATTCAAAAGTCGCAGGATGGTGTTAACAATGGAATGACAACATAGTTAGTTTCAGCAAGAACAGAATTGTGGAGACTATATAAAATAGAGGAGCAAATATGGTTCCAAAAGTTCAGATCAAAATGGATAGAAGATGGAGATAGAAATACAAGATTTTTTCATAATTGTGCTTTGATTAGGAAGAGGAGGAATGCTTTGAATGCCTTGAATATTGGAGGTAATGTTATTCAAGAACCTTATGTCATTAAGACCACTATTAGGGACCACTTCTTTAAGATTTTCAACGAGCATTCCACTTTAGAGGCGGAAGAGATCAGGTTGATTTTTCCTAGCATTTCAATTGAGCAGAATCTAAGTTTAGAGAAGGAATTTTCAGAGGAGGAAATCTGGGAGACTTTACAATCTTGTGATAGTAATAAAGCACCGGGACCGGATGGTTTAAATATGGGCTTCTTCAAAAGATTTTGGAAGGTCCTCAAGGTTGATATTATGAAATTTTTTCATGATTTTTATTTGGGGAAATAATGGGAACATGGGATTAATCATACCTTTATCACTCTCATTCCAAAGGTCTCTAACATTGGTGGTCTAGATGACTTTAGGCCAATTAGCCTAGTTGGTGGGTTGTATAAGATCATTTCTAAGTGTTTGTCGAGGAGGTTGAGGGGTTGCATTTCAGACATCATTAGTCCAACTCAGTTTGCCTTCATACCGGGTAGACATATTCTGGACTGTTCTTTAATTGCTAATGAAGGAGTGGATTATTGGAGAAAAAATGGACTCAAGGGCTGTGTATTCAAGGTTGATTTCAAGAAAGCTTACGACTCTGTTGAGTGGTCTATTTTATTTAAATTAATGGAGAAAATGGGATTCGGGTCCAGATGGAGGGGCTGGATTGAGCAGTGTGTAACCACAACTTCTGTTTCAGTTCTTGTAAATGGAGTTCATTATGAAGAATTCCCAATGGCTAATGGGCTACTTCTATTGGATGTTCAATTGGGAGACCTTCTGAATATCTAGGACTTCCCCTAGGTGCTACTAGAAATTCTGCAGCTATTTGGGAACCTGTTATTAATAATTTTTTTAACAAGTTATCCGGGTGGAAAGCATCATCTCTCTCTTTAGCAGGGAGGCTAGTGTTAATTAAGGCGGTTCTATGTTCGCTTCCTACATATTATCTTTCCATATTTAAAATTCCAGCTTCTTTTCTTAAAACCCTTAACTCTATTATGTCTAATTTCCTATGGGGAGGGGGAAATGGCATTAGAAAAATTCACTAGGTTAGCTGGTCCAATGTTAGTAAGCCGAAGAGTGAAGGGGGCTTAGGAGTTCTTAATCTTAACCCGATGAATAGAGCGCTTTTGGGGAAATGGACTTGGAGGTTTGCAAATGATAGGGACTCGGTTTGGAGGGAAGTTGTTTGTGCCAAATATAGACTCGATTCTTCAGTTTTAACTCTGGACAGCTTCTACCTAAGGTATCCTAGATTTGGAGATCACTGCTAAATAATTATTTTAAAGAAGATTTCTTTGGCACTAAGTTTAGAAGCATGAGTAGTGTTCATGTTGGTGATGGTAAAAATATTCGGTTTTGGCAAGATATTTGGGCTATGGATCATCCACTTTATGTCATTTTTTCGAGACTATTTTCTATTTCCTTAAATTAGTTTGGGAAATTATCTGAATTTGGGGAGTATATCTCTTCCGTTTGGACTTGGGATGTCAAGTTCAGAAGAAATCTTCATGACTGGGAACTTGAACAATGGTCTAACTTGTTGGCTATCATTACAGAATTTTCACTCTCTTCGGAATTTCCTGATCGTGTGATCTGGAAAGGTACTGGGGATGGGGTTTTTACTGTTAGATCAGCTGTAAATCTAGGTTCATTGGAGACTTTGGGATCGGAGGAGGTCTTTTTCTGGAAAAAAATCATTTGGAGAGGTCTACTACCTCCAAGAGTAGAGTGTTTTCTTTGGCAGATCGCTCATGGGAATCTGGCTGTTAGGACTGAACTTGTCAAAAGAGGTGTTCAAGGAATTGAAGATATATTGTGTCCCCTATGCAAGATGTCGGATGAGTCTCCCTCTCATTTGTTTTTCTCTTGTTCGATGGTGTGGTCCCTTTGGAATAAGTTTTTAAGGTTTTGGAGGATTTGTTTTGTGTTACCAGCGGATGCTAAAAGCTTTTTTCTAGCTTGGGATGGTTTAAAGTCTAACTCTTTGATTTGGCCTTTTATTCCAGGGGTCGTTCTGTGGACCACTTGGAAAATGAGGAATTTCGTGGTGTTTGAAGGGGGGAAGTTTGATAAGGCAGAATTATTCTTTTTAGCAAGGTTTAGGCTAGCTTCTTGGTTCTCAGCAAAGTATAAAGATGCGTCTATTCCTAAGGACTCACTCATTTCCGATCCTTCTCTTGGGGACTTTTTTCTCTTTGCTCTACTCAGATTTCTCCTACTTTACTTTGGTCTCCTCCTCCTTTGGGTTTTGTTAAATTAAACGTTGATGCTGCCACTACAAGGGATTGGAAGAAAAACGGGTTAGGAGGAGTTCTAAAAGATTCCTCAGGTTCTACTATAGGCTATTTCAAGGAAACTGTCGGTCCGGGACCTCCTACGTTGATGGAGTTAAAGGCTATTCTTATGGGGTTGTCTTTCTTTGCAAACTATCGACAGAGGATCAAGGACCGTCTGATTATAGAGAGTGATAGTAAGGTGGCTGTGGATTGGATTAAGGGGGATGAATTATGTCATGTTGTATATGCCTTCTTGATTAAAGATATTGCTCATAGGCTTAATGCCTTGGAAGGTGTTGTTAGGTGGGTTAGTAGGACAGCCAATTTAGAGGCTGATGCCTTAGTTAAAGAAGGCATAAGCTGAGTCAGTAAAGTTGTTGATGGCTGTTTAGGGTGGTGTCTGGATTTATGTGTTTTGTAAGGGGATTACTAGTGTTGTTTTCGTTGATTTTGTGTCTTTAGTTAGGGTGTTTTATGGGTGTTTTCAGCTTATTTGGTTCTGTTGGGGTGGTTTTGTCGGTTGTATTGTTGGTTGTATCTTATGTTTTTATTGTTCAATAAAAACCTAAGGTACTCTTTTCCTCCTTCCGCTGATTAAGGAGCTTCTCTACAAGCTCTATTAATCAAGAAGGGGGTTTTTAATGAGGCCTGGAATTCTTATCAAAAAAAAAAGATCCACCTTCAGAAATTGTGCTCTGGCACTTCTGTGCTACCTGAAGTAACTGGTTTACCTACATGATTTACAGAAGTCAAGTTATATCAGGCGTCCTTAAAGAACTTAAAACAAAGAGCATATGACCTTATATGATTTAGGAAGTTTCATTTTTTTAAGATAGAATTGGTAAGAGACGTCGTTTTAATCCTGTGTGACATTAGGTCTTGGGTTCGATCAGTGGCAACCATTTCCCCTTACATATACATATATATATATATAAAGAATAAAATGAAAGCAGTAAAAATTGTTTTAATCAGGGATGACATTAGGTCACGGGTTATCGTCATCTAGATAACATTATTTTGGGCTTCCTTGTTATGATCCCTAATACTATCAACACATTCAGAGCAAAATTTACAGCTTCTGGGATGTAAAGGGAATAAAATAGAGTAGAGCAGAAAGAAGTGAAGGGATTAACCTACCATGTTTGAATTCTGTTATCCCTAACCTGTATATGGTAAAAATCCTCATTTTAGAAGTTATCTCAATTGAAAGGGCTTGTATAAGAGTACCGGCAATCCTTTCCCAACTCAAACTGATTTTAGTAATGGTTTATATGCAATGTAATAGCACATAAACTCTCAAATTTTCTCTAATATACTTTTCTCATCTTTCACCTTATTTACTCCAAAGTCCTTTACCTTCAGGCTTCAGATCCCAAATACGTTGCAATAAAACTCAAAATACCTTCAGGCTTTGGATCGTGATGGTTTTTGTGGAGTTCCCTTCAGAGGAGGTTGTTTTCTTTTAATGGTTGCAGTTGTTGTGTTTATATTATGTTATGTCATTAAGTTTTGGGTTGTTTTTCTTTTGCTGGAAGTATATCTTAGGTATAGGGTGATTGTCTTTGGGTTTTTGTGGTTGAGATGGCGAGAGATTTAGGTGGTTCTGATTTTTTGTAATGGTGTATATCCCCGTTTAAGGGTTTTACGTGTTTTTAAATGTACTAGGTGTTTTATTTAATGAAATATGAAGTACTCTTTTCTTCCTTCCAATGTTCGTTAACATACCTGTTAGTATGTGGACGAATACGAAGGGAGTTTTTAATGAGACCTCCAACTTATATAAAAAAAAATTACAATTGAATCTTTCAAGTTCCATCCCCTAGGGCTTCCTCTCTCAATTTCCTTTGTTCATCCCAAAGTGTAGGGCTTCCTCCCTCGATTTCCTTTGTTCATCCCAAAGTGTTTCTGTCTATTCAATCTCTTTCCCTTACATGTTCTACTCAATTTGGTATCTGTGCTATGCAAATCTAAATAAAGAAAACAAGGCAGGACTAAAATAACACCACTTACGGTTTATTTGAGTAAATATGTCCGCCATTGCAAGTGGCTTTCAGTTGTCCTACTCGTACGATTTCTCATCTTTCATTAAAAACGAAAATACAATTGTATGTACAATTATACATGATACAACCATAATTAAAGAAATAACATCATAACTCTTACAAAATGCAAGAGAAATAGCAAAGGAGTGATTGTATTTGCAGAAGAATCATCAACAGGAAGTTATAGCTAATAAGGTGCAACTAAACGGTGTGGAAAAAGTTCTTCATGTCTACGTGCACAAAAATCCCAAGATAATATCTGCAAAAGGGAAGTGACAATAGGTTATTCCCTAAATAGAAGAAATAAAAACTGCAAAATGTGAATAAGCTTTTGTTAACCTTTAAGTCCTGAGTGAATATGATGCGAAGCTGCCCCTCACGAACAACACGAAGCTGCTCATATACACTCTCCTGGACTGCTTTTCCATACTCCAACATCATTATTCCAGAAGGAAATCTAGACTCACGAGGCAAGTCCAAAAACAGAAGCTCATCAACCACTCCACTACCAAATTTGATTTCATTAAGTCTGGGGAGTACTTCAAAAGTTGCTTCTGTAAACATGAGACCATTTACTTAAGTTAAAATTAAGTGGTCAGATGCCAAGTAGAAAAAGTGATTATAAGTGACTTCTGAAGTGCAAAATCTAGATTCAAGCCGAAAGCATGGAGCCTATGTTCTCTAAATAGTGAGACCAAACAAGAATAAACAATGCAGTCCATACATCCAGAGATATTATGAGCTGATACATATTAAATTCAAGCCATTCGAATATAATATATTGTTTAACTGAGAAAACAATAAATGATAAGACCTTATTTGAGGAAAGTTTTAAGCTGGCAAAAGAATATCAGGAAATCTATAACCCTAAAAATTAAAGAAATTCCATTTCTCTCTTACATCCAATATGTCAATGTAAGGAGAGAAAAGAAGGATATTTTATAATCATCGAAGTGTGACAGATAAAAATGAAAATCAATGAAAAGAAAGCAATGAATTTAATGCAGATAGCATCCTATAACAAACATTAAATCAGGACCATCTTTTTTTTCCCGTACCATGCTTTTAAAATGTAACCTAGCAAATAAACTAAAATTAAAATTTTCTACAACAAAGCAGAAGGTCAGAAATCTCTTACCAAACCCCCTTCCAGATTTAGACCCACAAATATCACAATGCCAGGCATCCTGAAATTTACATAAAGAAAATCAGAATTCTACTGATATAAGACGGGCAAAAAATCAAGAACCCAACTTATGGATAGTATTATTCATGCATAAGAATGCATACAGGATACCAAATCAGTGCAAATAATTCAATAAAAAGTCCTACACTTCATGATAGAAAGATAATTTTCATATGTTACAAACTAGAGGAAAGAAGTATAAAGACTAACCATAGCTGCTTGAGGGAAAACACCAAGTGCATGAATCCCAACATTTTCATACATTGATAAACACCATCTTTTCTTTGCACAAGGAGAATAGTACTCTGCAACAAATTTCCTCCAGTATGCAAATGTATTATCCTACAAAATCAAGGAGACATAACAGGATTCTCAGCAATTACCAAGTTGAAAATGAGTTGATGTCAATTCTGTAACAAGAGGATTGTTGAGCATTCATAGGAGTATATGGTAGATTTCTACACACAAAGGGGGGGAGATGATAACTCCATGACTGCAGCAAGTTAACTAATCTTACATATTTCCACAAAAAAGGGAATCTTCGAGATCAGTGAAACCATTCATTGAAACCACTTAAAATTCAATATATTTTGTCACCAAAAAGTGGGGGAAAAAACATAAACTCACAGGTGGCCTTTTCCGTTGGTGAAATAGATATTGCATTAGGCGGCGAGCACATACACCACCATCAAAGGGACGCTTCATTCCAGCTACTTGCTGCATGCCCTGTTGTTGCATTTGCTGCCTCAACTGCATTTGTTGTTGCTGCTGCTGCAACTGTGCTCTCTGCAATGGTGGCATTGACTGCAAAATTTGTTGCTGTTGTCTAAGTCTCTGCTGCTGGAACAAAGCTTGAAATTGGGGGTTTCGAGCTTGCAGCTGCATGGAATCCTGTCTTTGCAACAACTGTTGCAACACTTGCTGCTGAAGAATGTCTTCTTGCTTGATGTCTAATCGAGGTTTCTTCTGCACCTGAGATAGATTATTAGGATCTTGCATGAAGGACCCTGGGACTCGTGGACCCATGGGAAGTGAAACCTGTCCAGTTTGAAATGCAGGCAAAGATGTAGCAGTGGAGGCCCCTTGCTGCAGTAGCTGACTGGGCTGCATTTGTTGGACACTTGGATCTTGCTGAGATCCCAGTTGGCCTACAGAAGATCCATCAACTACCGACGAACCTGACATGCTTATATTGTTGGAGGAAAACGACATGGGCGATGCTGGTAAGCGCATATATGACTCAGTATTAAAGCTAGCACTTCTCTGCAAGTGGGGACCTCCTGACAACGCTGAATTTGCATCTGTGACCAAAGAACTTGCCCCAACACTAGGTCCTGAGTTTGCCACACCATTCAACAGTGAACTGTTCATACCACCCGCAGTCAGACCCATATTAGGACGCCCGGTTCCAGGAATTGAATTAGATAAGTTCTCATACGGCGAGCTCAAGCGAGAGTTAACTACAGCCCGGTACTGCCCATCTCCTTGGAAGAAAATTCCAGAACTCGAGGAAGAATGGGTTAACCCGCCAGCCACCCGAGAAGGTTCCATTGGAGGCACTGCCTCCTGCTGGTTGGTGTCTAAATAGCTATCCAGAGCCAGACCTTTATAATAATAAATGCGCCCTCAATGATTTGATGCAGATATCTAAAAATAATATCCGATAGGAAGACCAAATCACAAATTAGAATTCGAATTGCGTGTGCTTCAAGAGAACAAAGTTACAACCTTTTCTAACATTATTCCACTCAGATAAGTTAATAAAGACTAGAAACAAAATTTCGAAGATTTATCAACTCCCAAAAGAAAACCTAATTTTGAAACCAACTCACTAAAGCAATAATGTCTAAATATAATAATCAAAAACCTAAAATCTTTGCACTTTCAGAGCACGTATCAGCTATCAAAACACTCCGCAAAAGAAAAAGAAAAGAAAAACTACTAATCAAAGTTTGCCCCAAAGTGATCGCACGCATACACATATCCCATTGTGTAACTCAAATTAGAAACCCAAAAAAATGAGGGTCCAAACAGGAGCAACAATAAATTGAACTTAATAACAAGACAAACAAGAATCAGAAAACAGCAAGTAATAATCACTTCAAAAAAAAAGAGTAATTTAAAGATCGATTAAAGCAGAAACTAACTAGATAAAGAAAGGTAGGGAAGCTAATAACCTGAAATCTCGAGCTGCAACCGAAAAAAGAAAAATACAAAAACGAAACTTTACTTTTATTTTCAAAAAAAATTTCACTTAATTTATAAAAATGGTAGATATAGAAAGAGATTGATTTCATGGGAGCTGTTTTTATAGCTAGTGGAATTACCGGCAGCGCCGGTAGCTTTACCAACACGTGTCCCCGTATGATAGCCCGGAGAACTCGGTGTGGGATCTCGACAGTGCCGATGTGAGCTAGCGACCGACATGCTAAGATCTAATTCGTGAGTGAGGACGATGCAGCACTTTTTGAGATGGCCCGCTACTATTTGATTTAAAATAATTTTTTGTTTTTATTAAAGTTGGAAACTAAACTCTCAATTTTAATTTATGAAAAATTGTTTCTCATATTTCATTAAAAATTAAAGCTAGAAGATTAGTCCAATTATTTTGATGTGTATTTATGATTAAAGATGGTCTATCTTGTCTGTCTTAGAAATATAATATATTTTTAAAAAAAAATAAAATATATTTTTATTTAATAAAAATATAAATTCATCATAAAATGTGAGATATACGTGATTATGACATTATTAAATTTATTGTTTAACAATATTAAAAATATACAAATATAGAAAATAAAAAAAATGTAGGAAAAATAAGTTTGATAGAGACAATTATATAAGTTAAAACATTTTCTTATAAAAATATAAAATTCAACAAGTTACATATTTGTTATAATAAAAAAATAAAATGTTTTTAATAAGAAATATGTCAAGGAGGCGCAACATTAATCTGGAGCGCATTATCAATATTTATTAGGAGAGCGTAGAATGATCTAATACCAAAATGTGCAGTCTAAGTTAGCTTGGTCATCCCATCTACGACTAAGGATTGTGTGATATTTTCATGTTTGGTTGATCGAAAATTTCATTCTCGGTAATGTTTTATTATCAATAGTAGATTTTTTAGATATATTACCGAGAATGTTATTATCTCTCTTCCCTTAGGTATTTTAATATTACCGGCGTTTTGGACTAAAATACCCTTAAATTTTTATTTTTTTCAAAAATATCTTTCTTCTGTCATTGAATAATAAAAATTCTACGAAGGTTAAATTACAAATTTATCCTTAAATTATTTTAGATTTACAAAAAAAAGTCTAATTAAAATTTTATATGAAGTTCAGGAGTTAAAAAAAATTTACCCTTTCATTAAACCTTTTTTATATTTTTAATTTTGTAAAAAAAATTATATAAATATTATGAATTTAATTTTTTAAAGAAAATATATAAATATTTTACAATTTGTAATATTATACAAATATATAATAAGGACAATTTGATCAAATATACATTCCAATAATATTTTATTTCTTTAACCAAACACGATAATCTTACATTCCTGCTAAACCAACCAAACACAAAATACAACATTCTCAGTAATCTTATTCTCTGGTAATCTTTTATTCCCACTGATAATCTTTTATTATCACTAGTAATATTTTATTCTCACTGATAATCTTACATTCCGTGAACCAAACGTATTCTTATTGTATTTGCACGGAATGTGTTTAAACGTCGACCGCCAATTTCGTTTAATGAGGTTAACAACATGTGATGTCATCGTTAAACCACCTCATGCATTTATATGATTATATCCCAACCAAGTACAGAAAGAGCCTCTATACTATTTATTTCCACGATGAGTGTCGATATTTGTATTTATTATATCATTTGTAGTCTCTTGAATAAACCTCATAATTGCACATCAAACACTGAACATATACCAATGGGTTTAAAGTAATCTATTAACCAATTATTAGTATGATCTCGAATGAGACCTCTACAAGTAACTACTCCTGAATTTGATTATTTCGTTCCATCCGAGTTTAATTAGAATAATTGAAAAGAAAAAAATGAAGAAGTTTGAAAATCACATAAAAATAAAGAAATTTAAAATATTAAATAGTATAAAATAGTATTTTTTAAGTATAATTAAAACATATGTAATTATAAATATTTTGATCCTATAAAACATTTATTTTTAAAAAATTTAAATGAAATATAAACCTATCAAATCCGGACAATTTTAACATCATTAATCGTGAGCTTGCATCGGCAGTACCGAGATCTAAAATTCGAATTCATCGGGCTATCATGTTAGGGACTCCAAAATCGAAGGGTAAAGCTACCAGCGCTGCCGGTAATTCCGTCACTGCCATTCCCGCTAGGTATAAAAGCAGATTTCATGAAATATCACCTTCTCTCTCTTTATCTACCATTTTTTCCATTTTTGTAAATTAAGTGAAAAAAGTAAAAAAGGTAAAGTTTAGCTTGTATTCTTCTTTTCTCGTCTGCAGCTCGCGATTTAAGGTTAATAGCTTCCCTTCTTCTTCTTCTTTTCATTTGTTTAATCCGTTTTATTTAATTAAAATAGTGTAAAAATTCTTTAGTTCGATTCTGCTTTGCTCGATCTCTAAAACCAGGGAAGTTTACTGTTTTTTCCGTTCCTTTTTTTTTTGAAGTGATTCTTGCTTGCTTTTTTTTTTTGTCTTATTGTTTAACTTGCTACTAATGGTTTAATTAAAGGTCAATTTGTAGTTGCTTCTGTTTGGACCCTCATTCTTTTTTTTTATAATTTAAATTGGATTGCACTTTGGGATATGGGTACGCGTGTGATCACTTTGGGAAAACTTTGATTAGTACTTTGTTCGCGTATTTTGTGATTTGATAGCTGATATGTGCTCTTAAAGTGCAAAGATTTTTGGTTTCGACTATTCTAGTTAGACATTATTGATTTAGTGAGTTGGTTTCAGAATTAGGTTTTCTTTTGGTTGTTGATTAATCTTCAAGATTTTGGGACTTGTTTTCACAGTGTTTCTAGTATTGAATGACTTGTCTGAGTGAAGTAATGTTAGAAAAGTTTGCAACTTTGTTCTCTTGAAGCACTGCAATTCAAATTCTTTTTTCTTATATTTACCTATCGTATATTGATTTTAGATATATGCATCAAATTGGTGAGGGTGTATTTATCATTATAAAGGTCTGGCTCTGAATAGCTATTTAGACACCAGCCAGCAGGGGGCAGTGCCTCCAATGGCACCTTCTCAGGTGGCTGGAGGGTTAACCCAATCTTCCTCGAGTTCTGGAATTTTCTCCCAAGGAGATGGGCAGTCTCAGGCTGTAGTTAACTCTCGCTTGAGCTCACCTTATGAGAACTCATCTAATTCAATTCCTGGAACTGGGCATCCTATTCTGGGTCCGGTTTTGGGCGATATAAACAGTGCGGTGTTGAACGGTGTGGCAACCTCAGGAGCTAGTGTTGGGGCAAGTTCTTTAGTCACAGACACAAATTCGGCGCTGTCAGGAGGTCCCCACTTGCAGAGAAGTGCTAGCTTTAATACCGAGTCATATATGTGCTTACCAGCATCGCCGATGTCGTTTTCGTCCAACTATATAAGCATGTCGGGTTCATCGGTAGTTGATGGATCTTCTGTAGGGCAGCAGTGCTCTCATCAGGACCCAAGTGTCCAACAAATGCATCACAGTCAGCCGCTGCAGCAAGGGGCCTCAACTGCTACATCTTTGCCTGCGTCACAAACCGGGCAAGTTTCACTTCCCATGGGTCCACGAGCCCCAGGGTCCTTCATGCAAGATCCTAATAATCTATCTCAGGTGCAGAAGAAACCTCGATTAGACATCAAGCAAGAAGACAGTTTGCAGCAGCAGGTGCTGCAACAGTTGCTGCAAAGACAGGATTCCATGCAGTTGCAAGCTCAAAACCCGCAATTACAAGCTTTGATCCAGCAACAGAGACTTAGGCAACAGCAACAAATTTTGCAGTCAATGCCACCATTGCAGAGAGCACAGTTGCAGCAGCAGCAAATGCAGTTGAGGCAGCAATTGCAACAACAGGGCATGCAGCAAGTAGCTGGAATGAAGCGTCCATTTGATGGTGGTGTATGTGCTCGCCGGCTGATGCAATACCTATATCACCAACGGCAAAGGCCACCTGTGAGTTTATGTTTTTTTTATTTTCTACATCTCGTGGCTAAGCATCTTGAATTTTAATTGGTTTCATTTAACAGTTTCGCTGCTCTTGAAGATTGCATTTTTTGTGGAAATATGTATACTTAGTTAATTTGCTGCTGTCATGAAGTTATCATCCCCACCCCCTTTTGTGTGTAGAAATCTACCATATACTATCTTCTTGTTGCAGAATTGACATCAACTCATTTTCAACTTGGTAATTGCTGAGAATCCTATTATGTCTCCCTTGATTTTGTAGGATAATGCATTTGTGTACTGGAGGAAATTTGTTGCAGAGTATTATTCTCCTAGTGCAAAGAAAAGATGGTGTTTGTCACTGTATGATAATGTTGGGAGTCCTGCACTTGGTGTTTTCCCTCAAGCTGCTATGGTTAGTCTTTATGCTTTTTTCCTCAAGTTTGTTTGTAACATATGAAAATTATCTTAATGTCATGAAGTGTAGGGCCTTTTTCTTGAATTGTTTGCACTGATTTGGTATCCTGCATGCATTCTTCTGCATGAATAATAATATCCATCAGTTGGGTTCTTGATTTTTTACTCGTCTTATATCAGTAGAATTCTGATTTTCTTTATGTAAATTTCAGGATGCCTGGCATTGTGATATTTGTGGGTCTAAGTCTGGAAGGGGCTTTGGTAAGAGATTTATGTGCTTTTGCTTGTAGAGAATATTCATTTTGGTAGGAATTACATTTTAGGAGTACGGTAAGAAACAAAAGGTGGTCCTTATTTTATATTTGGTATAGGATGCTATCTGCAGTAAATTCATTCCTTTCTTTTCATTGATTTTCATTTTTATCTGTCACACTTCTGTGATTATATAATATCCTTTTTTTCTCTCCTTATATATTGACATATTGGATGGTACTTGACAACTGACCACTTGATTTTAACCCAAGTAAATGCTCTCATGTTTACAGAAGCAACTTTTGAAATACTCCCCAGACTTAATGAAATCAAATTTGGTAGTGGAGTGGTTGATGAGCTTCTGTTTTTGGACTTGCCTCGTGAGTGT